GTAGAGTGGTTTTGTGTGCTAGGTGTCCTATAGTGCCCAGTGGCTCAGCTGATTTCTCAACAGAAGCTTTGCAGGCCAGAAGGGAGTGGCAAGAAATATTCAAAGTGATGAACGCCAAGAACCTACAACCAAGATTACTTTATCCAGCAAAGCTATCATTCAGAATCGAAGGTCAGATAAAGAGCTTCACAGATAAGAAAAAGCTAAAGGAGTTCATCACCACCAAACCAGTATTATATGAAATGCTGAACGGTATCCTTTAAGAGGAGGAAGAAGAAAAAGGCGAAGATAAAAATTATGAACAGCAAATACGTATCTATCAACAAGTGAATCTAAAAATCAAGTGAATAAAAAATCTGATGAACAGAGTAAACTAGTGAATATAATAGAACCAGGGGCATAGAAAGGGAGTGGACTGACAATTCTTGGAGGGGGGGGAAGGGGTGTGAGGGATGCAGGAAGAGACTGGACAAAAATCGTACACCTATGGATGAGGACAGTGGGAGGGGTAAGGGCAGAGGGTGGGGTGGGAACTGGGTGGGTGAGAGCTATGGGGGTTTGGAAAAAAGGAACAACTGTAATCATCTGAACAATAAAGATTTAATTTTGAAAAAAATATATCCTCGGGTGACGATTAACAAAAAAAAGGTTGCAGGTTCGATTCCCAGTCAAGGGCACATAACCTAGGTTGCAGGTTTGATCCCCGGTCGAGCCAAACATCAATGTTTTTCTCTCGCCAGCCCTTCCTTTCGCTCTAAAATCAATAAAAGCATGTCCTCGGGTGAGTTTTAAAAGAAAAAAAAAGAATAAAGCAATGCACAAATAAGTGGAACAACAAAGTTGATGCTTCTCCCTCTCTAAAATCAATTTTAAAAAAATCAAATTTTAAAAATCAATGTTTTGATAAGCTTCTAAAGTCACAATCTAATAGAATGTTTTAGAATACAAACAACCATTAGGAAGGGGAGTCCCTGTACAATGGAACCGCATTTTATGGGTAAGAATAATTTCGGGGGGGGCGGGGGGAGGGGCCGCTGAGGATTCCAATGGCACCTCCTGGGAGACCAACGCGTTCCAGTCCGTACCCAGCCTGCTCCCTCTCGTCCTTGCATCCTTTCCTGGAGAATATATCTAAGGGATGAGTGCCCAGAGCCTGGCTC